CCAATTTCTCGCTACTGTCGCAGTAAAATGTTTCAGTTTAGCAATGAAATCACAGTCTCGTTTCTATCTGCATTGCATTGACCAAATTTATAATTACCTCTAAAATGTTCCTTAAGGTTTGAGAAAAAATGAAAATCTAGTACCGCGTGGTCAAAATTTTATGAAGTGATAATATAAAACGATTGTCAACAACAGTGTGTATACTGAGGACATAAAATTGCTTTCTTGGTGCAGGCGATTCTTTGTGGCGGATAATATATTTTATAAAATCATTTATTTCACATAATTTCTATGTTTACATTCAGTCTCTAAAGAGATTTGACAAATCGAAATCAAATGAATATCAGATCATGCTGAGTGTTTATGTGGCATTTAGGCTTTAACAAAAATTATTAACATTTGCTTTTCTTACCGATAACTATTCTGATTATTTCTCGTACCAGTTTGTGTTTCTTCTAAGCTTTTTTCTCATTACCTACATTTCAAAAATAGCGGAAAAAGTGAAAAATGGTCTGTTAATCATTTTTCTACAACTGACAGAAAAATAATTTATTTTAAAAAGGGAATGCAATATCTCAAATATCAGAGCTCAGTAAAAATCAAAAGACAAAATAATAGTTGTGGTTGGGGAAAAACCAGAGCGTGTTGATAACGATAAAGTAATAGATGTAGATGCATCGACTGACTGGGATGCACTAAAAAAAGTAATAGATGTAGATGCATCGACTGACTGATCGACGGTCAATTTATTATACTTATCTGCGATCTTGACCCCATCGATCGTGTCGCTTTTTGAAGAAAGCGATAACTATTACGTGATTTTGTTCTGAGGATATGCCAATGCGGTCTTTGAACTTGACCTTTAATGCACCCACGTGATTCATGTGTTGCCTTTGTATACTCATTATGCAAATAGTATGCATTTTTGTCTTCCTATGCATAATTTAGAATACCTTAATTAATTCTCAGATACAACATAAACAAATGAATAATTTTGGCTGTAAAAAGGCAGCGTGTTGCCCGTTATTAAATTCTCAAACGTTTTCGTCTCTGGGGAACGCATGGATAAACGTAAGAACGTATCACGTGTTTTCCGTAATTTTTGAAATGTCGAAACAGCGTGAATATCGTTGGAGCGAATACTAAATACAAACAAAATTTTCTGAAACAAAAAACTTCGCTGAGAGACTTCGGCCATATCTGTACGGAAAGATCCACTGCAGTTTGGAGTACAGGACACATTGAGATATTTGTCTCTCTCCAGTTCTATTCAGGACTGGCGTTTTTCGCATGTAAACCCCATTAAATAAACCTGTGGGGTTACAAGAGCACATTCTTTCTCGCATTATTTCTAAATTTGCAATTTTCGAAAATTCAAAATGTTCAACGAAAATGTGATCTGCCCCATTCGATTGTTTTTATTTATATGTGGAAAAATTTCAATGTAAGAATTTGGAACTGTTTTTCTGAAAATGTGTTTTTCGTAAATTGCATTAAGTAAATTACGCAAATCAAGCGCAAATTACGGAAAAAGTACTATTTTTTATGAAATTTTCTAAATAAATATTGTTGCAGATTTCACTTTCAATTAATTTCATCAGATCTGTTAATATTTCTTATGATATGGTTGATAATAGGAAGTTTTTAGAGTAATAATTTTTAATTTTGAAAATTATCTTTCGCCGATGGCTTCTGCAACTAGCAAAATTTGTAATATCACGGTAATATTAGGGAATGGCCCGGTTACTTATTTACTTTCTCGCTGTACGAAGTTCTTTTTTGATATATGAATTCTAATACTTCAATTGCTGATGATTTTGATTTGAGAAATTACGTGTTTATATTTAGTTCATCTGCAAGTTCTATTGCTTTTATACCTTTTGAACTATCTGTATCAGTTTCATCGATCAGTTTCAATTATAGATCCATGCAAATTTTTAATATGCCTGTTTAACAAATTTATGCTAGTTTGTTCAAGACATATACAAAATTAAAATCATCACTTTACTCTTTAAGCAATTGTAACCTTTCCTCTATAGATGATACTCTAGTGTCAATAAAAGTTGTCTATTCTAAAATGCGGTTCATACGGTATGCGGAAATTGTCTTTTGGATGATTTGTTCTCTGAACGCCACGTTCATAACTGAACGTAGTTTTCTTTTTTCACCTCTTTGAAGGTTGGGGTGGGGGTGGGGTAGTCTGCATCTACATTGCACGAATTAGCAAGCTCAGTTGCAGTGCTTAGCATTTCATCAAAATTATTGCGATGTCTGATTGTTCCTTTTAAGATGACAAGATCCTTTGAGATATGTGGAACTCGGTATACAATATTGCATCAAAATCTGTTATAAAATCGCAAGGTACGTTTCAAAAATTTGCTTCAAATGACAATTTTTATACCTCCAGATCAACTTTTTACTTCATATTCAAACAGTGCACCCAACTCAGACGCGGTACGAGATATCAAAAAATTGTTTAAAGACTTTTCTGTGTCAAAATGATGAAGTTATTGACATCTTCAATGGCGTCACAAACTAAGCCCGACCAGATGGGTGACATCCAGCATTTTTATATATATATACTGTCATAATTAAGAATCATAAATGAAGTTTTTGCGTACTCGTGGGCCACTACGACTGATACTGCTCTAAGCAGTGAAACATAACTTTAATAAAACTAGTGGTGCTAAAACAGCTCGTATTTTCTCGCAGTTTTCGAACATTATCAATTGCCGGCGTCGCTTGCCGAATTTCTTAATTATGCTCTGTGAAGCCATGAAGGTTACGTGAATTCGAGACTTTTATAAATTGCAGTGTCTTTAATCAGAAATTATATGAAAACTAAAAAAATGTATATGACCTTCTTTAAAGATCTTGTAGATAAAGACAAAACTCTCTACCATCAACATTGTACTTTTGCAGTGTTAATTTTTTGCAATTTTCGAAAATACAGAGAGTTTAATTTTGCAATGTGCACCGGTTGCAGTAATGGGACCAGTCCCATTTTTTAACCTCCCTTTGCTACGAACGAGGAAAAAAAGGGATTCGTTTTTGAGAAAATAATTGTTTAAAATTGCTTTATTTCACGCAAAATTATGTGAAAGTAACTTACATTTTTTTAAATTGTACTTGACCATATTTCAAGAACTGTCTTTCAGCAAGATTTTATTAAGGAAATCTCTGTCTTCAATATTGTAGTTGTAGAAAGTTGCCGAAAATATGTCTAACTTTGGCAAATCTCGAAAAATCACGAACTTCAACGAAAATGAGATCTGCGCCGTTCTTTTAAGAGTTCGCTACCAAAGGGCAATGTTTCATAAAACGTGGAAGCCGTTTTTGAGAACATTTCGAAATTGTGAAGTCTTCATATAAAGTAATGCAAAAAATCGACATGTCCGTTTGAAATTCTCAGGGGCTCGAGTTCCTCCAGATCGCTGAGCGAACATCAATTTTCAAGAAAACCATCTGAACCGCTTAGGCGCTATCGTTGATCACTGACGAAGGACGGACACAACAATGCCGTGCTATAAATTGATCTGTGTATTTAATGTGATCGGTGAAATATGAAACTTTTTGAATGTATGGTTGTACTTTCACGTAGTTTACTAACTCACAGGGCTAAGTGTATTGCTCTTTAATATACATTACAAATTTTGTTTTGTCTCATTCAAAGTTTTAGATGAGTATTATAATGCAGAGGAGTGGCTGGTGCAAGCGAGAGGCAGTGGCAGGCCTTTTAGGCGCCAATAGATAGCAGCTGGGAAGAGTGTGCTGCAAAAACGAAAAACTATCACAGACTTACCAGAATAGGAAGCTACTGGTACGAACAAGTTTGTGCCAGTCTGTGGCACCACTGGTAGTTGCTGTGACTCCTGCTATCGTCATCTACACTATTGCTAAGATTGAATAAACCGCCAATTAGTTAATTAATTATTAATATTGTATGAGTTAAACGGAAATTTGAATAATTTATTTACACTCTGATTTTCATGAACTATTTTTCAGTTATCCTTATTGATCTTGTTAAGCAGTGAATTACAGATGTTAGTTTAATTATTTATGATGGGTCAACTCATTCATCTCAGTAGCTCAATTACCTTTTCAGCTCACTCAATCAACTCTCAATTAACTCAATTATCAACTCATTTCGGGTTCTATTTCTCTATTACAATATTTTGTTAGGTTATAACCGTAAACACTTACAAATTATTCCACGAAGTGCCTTATGCAAACATCCCAACATATTTCAAGAGACATAACAATACCACACCCCTCTGGTAAAACTTCCTTCACGACTTGATGGTTGGGGCGGCGACGGCTCGGCCAGTCTCCGCTGCTGGTAAATTGGCAGTGTGTGTGTGTGTGTGTGTGTGTGTGTGTGTGTGTGTGTGTGTGTGTGTGTGTGTGTGTGTGTGCGCGCGTGAGCGTCTGCGTGAGCGCGCGTGTTTGTCGGCAGGGCGACGAGGGGCGACGCCATGGCGGGGTCCTGCTATCGTCATCTACACTATTGCTAAGAATGAATAAACCGCCAATTAATTAATTAATTAGTTAACAATATTGTATGAGTTAAACGGGAGTTTGAATAATTTATTTACACTCTGACTTTCATGAACTATTTTTCAGTTATCCTTATTGATCTTGTTAAGCAGTGAATTACATATGTTAGTTTAATTATTTATGATGGGTCAACTCATTCATCTCAATAGCTCAATTATCTTTTCAGCTCTCTCAATTAACTCAATTATCAACTCATTTCGGGTTCTATTTCTCTATTTCAATATTTTGTTAGGTTATAACCGTAAACACTTACAAATTATTCCTCGAAGTGCCTTATACAAACATTCCAACATATTACAAGAGACATAACAATACCACACCCCTCTGGTAAAACTTCATTCACGACTTCAATCATCAATTTCATTGATGGTTGGGGCGGCGATGGCTCGGCCAGTCTCCACTGCTGGTAAATTGGCAGGGTGTGTGTGTGTGCGTGAGCGCGCATGTCTGTTGGCAGGGTGATGAGGGGCGACGCCATGGCGGGGAAGTCGCTGCCGGAGCAGAACAGCCGCACGGCGCTGACGCTGGGCGACGGCTCCCCGGCGCGCGTGTGGCCGCAGGCGCTCGCCGCGGGCGTCGGTGAGTGGGCGGGGCGCACCTGCAAACGACGCGTTAATAAAGTTGGATTTTATCAACTTCTCTTATTCAAATCAAGCCACTGGTATAGAAGTTTGTTACATTAAGTCATCATCAGGGCAATCAAGCCACTGGTATAGAAGTTTGTTACATTAAGCCATCATCAGGGCTCGGATTCTGATCACCACTAATGCTCGGATTCTTTTCATTGGTGCGTTCTAGACGTAGCTTAAATTAATGTTTATCAGGACATGTAGGTAATATAAATGTGTAGTTATTGGGTCATTGTTAGCCAATTTTTCAAATTTTAGGTATATTTTTTCTTTGGGTCGTTTTTGTAATTTTTGCGCATTTTGTTTTCTTTCCGTATTTTTTTGTTGGCGAATGTTTCATGAATTGACAATGACACGCTAAAAGAAGGTTTTTCTTTTAACTTCAGTTCATGGTGAAGTTTACTACTTCAGTGGACTCTATTTTTCGAATTTTCAAAATTATACAGATCTTCGGTTACTTCCCTAACGTTCAAAGCTGACGGTTTGAAGATTGGAGCTAAAAAATTACATTTCCTCCTACAATAAAGACTTCATATCAATATAATTTTATATGAATGAGTATATATAGGGTAAAGACGATATAATTATTTGCTGTAAATAATTTTTATTTGAAATTGTGAAAATAAATGGATAAATAAACATTTTATACCAATTTTTTAGTATTTAAAAAAACATTTCCCCCTTGTTTTTAAGTCATTTTATAAACCATATTGTTTCTATTTTTAACTCATTTTTAAGGTAATTTTCAAAGAAATTTTAGGTCATCAGAATCAGAGCCCTGGTCATCATCATTGCGGGTGTTTTGTGTCTTCTTACGCATTTTAAGATCGCAATACTGAGTTTTAAGAACTAATTTTATTAAAAACTTCTCTTATTAAAGCAATGATATACATATGTTTTACATTAAGTCATAATTATTGTTTACTCACTAAGGAAACATTGTAAAAAGACGTTCGGAAAGTTGAGTTTTATTAACATATTTATAAATCTTTATATTTCATGTAAATCTCAATCTTTGAAAGACAATCATGCCGCACAAGAATGTTTTTAAACCTTAATAAAAACTAATAACCCAAAGATTGGCTGATATCAACATTGTCCATGAACCACTATCATCCTAATTTAAATTGAAATTCATTAAAAATTGAAAGAAATTTTATTTAAATTTCAATAAATTTCATAATAAGATGTTATATTTGTATTAATTTAAAAATTCATTACTAGATTGATACTAATAGGATAATAAATATTACGAAATTTAAGATATGATTTAAATTTTAATAAAAAGTCAATTTGTAATTAAGATTAATTTTAATTCATTTTCTGTAAAACTATATATTTAGAATGGGTTTGTAAGAACGATTATTTTTCATAAACCCCGTTGATAATTTTCGTCACGGTTGTGGAAACCTTCTTCCCAATAAAAGCGGACGTATTTTAATGACTCTCTATAAAGAGACAAAATAATGTTTTGATCGTAGAACATTTGGGGCATTTCCAATTATAATGTCAGTTATCGATTCTTATAATAATTAGCGATTGTTATTAATTTTAATTAAGAGATCTTTCGATATGTTGGGACAATTGATTTAATTTACGTTTCATTTATTGATTCAATGGTTCTCGAGTTCCCCTTCGAATACTATACTTATTTGCATCGGTACACGAATTTCAAGTATGATTTTTTGCATTGCTATTTTGTTAGCAATGCATAAAAATCATAATTGCAATCCGTGTACCGATGTAAATAAGTTTTCTATAATTCAGAAACGAAAATGACTGTTTTTCAAATATTGCTAATCTTGCGATTTTTAAAACTTATTTTTATTTATTTATGTTAAACGTTTACTCATCTTTCAACTATTTTTAGTTAAAATGACGAGAAGGGATTCTGGAACTCAAGAAAAGTGCGCAGATAATCTTTTCCCTCCTACGTCACATGCAGTTTTTTACTGTTTTTTGACTGAATAAATTTAAATCTACTAACTAAAAAAAGTTACCTCAATTCTGGGTTTGAAACTGCCCTAAAACTCTAGAAACTCAAATGAAATTCTCACTACGTATATTTTGGCTACATGTTGCGTAAGAACTACAGATTAAAATCTTAAAGAGTGAAAGAAAGTAAAAGCTACTGTAACTTTATTTACCAAAAACAACAACAAAAATACTGAAAACTTTCTGTGTGCGCGTGTATTTTTATTCACTAACGTTGTAGTTTACTTATTTATTTTAGAGTGTTTTATTTAGTTCACCCTAGTATTTTTGTTGAATTTTTAATTAGCGTTGTTTAATTTTGTTTTGGAGGTAAAAACCCAGGGTTTCCTATTGAACATACCTAATTGGACTTAATAAACGTAGAGATAAGTTAACTGGGCATTTCATTTATAGAAGTGCAGAGAAATAATGAATGAATAAAATATCATTGAAGTTCTTGGCTTGGGGCATGTGGTCTATCCTGCCTCTGTGTGCTAACGGCGCGCGCGTTTGCGTGCTTGCAGCGACGTTGGGTGCGCTGAGTGTGGGCACGTGCCTGGGCTGGATGTCCCCCGCCCTGCCCCTGCTGCAAGACAAAACGAGTCATTTTCTGGTCAGCGATGAAGAGGCGTCTTGGATAGGTATGTTGCTCTTTACAATTAATTATCAAATTTTGCAAAAAAAATGTGTTTTTTTATCTTGTTTTCTTGATTTTGTTTTTGTATCTTGCGTATTCTGTAGATGATTGCGCTACTGTCTTAATCATACCTCACTTGTTCTGGGTTAACTGTTGGTCGAAGATGAACTACTCTTATGGCGTTTCTCTTTAGGATCTACACTGACCGAGTCTACTTTATTTTAAGTAGAGCTGGAATTTAAGTAGTGAAAACAAACTGATAACATTAAGTAGTGAAATATGTACATATGTGTCGCAAAATTCGAGAAAATGTATATAAAAAATTTGTAAAAACGACAAAATATGTAATGTAATATATTTTATGTCAGCTTCATAATTATATTTAATTTATTTCATGCATTTAATTTAAAATAATTAAAAGCAAGCTAAATGGACCACGTAAGGATAAAACACATTTAACGCAGTAGCTGCTTTAATCATGTATCAGCATATGGATAGAAAGCGAGCTCCTTCTCCTCCTTATTTGGTGACGCTTTTAGTCCTTCACTCTCAAACCTCACTTCTTGCAATACCATCGTCGTAAAGATACGTAGTTCTTGCCGGGTGGGTGGTCGTCCTGAGGCCTCTACGCTCTCAATGAAGGCGTCGCGCGGGCGCGCGCATGTGACAACGCGGCGATATCTCGATGGAGAGCCGGAGTTTGGGTGTATCTGTCGAGGAAGAACGGTTCCACGCCAACCTTCGAGCACTCAAGATAGCCCAGTTTAAATCGGCAGCAGTGTAATCTCGCCGGCGGTTAGATAGCGAGCAGATACCGACCACTTCCTGGTGTGAAGTCGAAGGTTTGATACGAATACTTTAACTGACAATCACAGCCGTTCCGTAGTCGAAATCTTGGGTAGTGGAACATGCTTAGATGCTGATTTCGCCACGGGAATTACTTATACTGCGATTTTTGCAACTCTATTCAGCAGTTGTCAGTTTCAGCTCAATCAACTGTGACGTCCCTATGGTGACTTTCGTGCTCCCAATTGGATGAAACTGTCAACAGCTGATACCTGCCAGGTACAGAGTGGCGAAAATCGCAGTACAGTAAGTGAAACGAACTCAGTCGTCGAGGTACCCCTACCTGGTTGACAGGTCTCGAGCTCTGTTGCTATGATCGGGCATTTACGGTATTTTCTCTGGACAGTTCCATATGATTGCCGAAGCGGTTCTTTAGATAACTGATGACACACCGCATGAGATATTATATTTTTCTTTCCGATCTATCTTTACTCTCATCTTTAAGGTTGCACAGTGGAGTGAACCCCCGATCGCAGTATGGTCCATTCTCATGATCTCTAAGAATCCGGGAAAATAACTGAATGCACGCAGACATCCCATCCCGACCTGTCCAATAGGGCAATCGATATACTAACGATTTACCGTCACACAAAAGCTCCGTTGCTTGGTAGAGCTGAGAAGATTAGCGGAAGTCCCAAGGAGACTGAAGTCATTAACGGATGAAAAAAATGTGAAGACCTCCGATAAAAATAAATAACTTATCCCGTTACGGTATCAATAAGCTCAAGTTCAGGCAGAGAAGCGGAACTGTGGTTAGATAGGTCACTAATTTGTTTTGCTTTGATAGGCTCTCGGTTTTATTTTCAAGAATGCATTTCATCACCTTTAATCGTGAACTTACTGCAAAGTCACTGCTGCTAAATCTTTTAATTACTCAAAATTGATTAGACTTGTGGTATTTCTATCTTACTTTCGATAAAATTAACATATTACTAAATACACAAAAAAATTACTTACTAATTGCTTTCAACGAAAAATAATGTTGTCGTGAAAAGAGGAGTATTCGTTTCGAGTATCGTGCAAAGATCATACATCTTGACGCGCACGCAGCGCTTCAAACGTTTCTCAATTTGCTAGATTTTTTTGTATTTTAACCAAAGTTTCAATCATTTTTGGCTGGAGTCACTTCTCCGCCGTCGTGACAGCCAGTGGCGGATTTACACATAGGACGCTCCTGGGAGCTACGCTCCTTGCCACCCTTATTCCTTTTCTTTATTTTTTAATATAGGCAATAAAATTTCAATAATTTCCAAAACATTTATTCAATAAATAATAATACAACTTCTTTGTAATAAAATAAATGACATTACCCCAAAAAATATCTTTTACGTCTTGCTGATTGGACAGCAAATTGCTTGATGAGCTAGATCATCACAGTTTATTAACTTTAAAATAAGTGTCAGCAACGCAAGCGATTTTAATCGATCTTTGGTCATTTTTGATCTGAGATAGTTTTTCACTCGTTTTGAACACGACACAAATCTTTCAGAACTGCAATTACTTATCGGTGGGCAGATCATCCGGTATACAATATCAGCAATGGAATAAACCATAGAAAAGTCATTTCCACTAAAAAATTTCATCAGTTTCTTTGGAGACACATTTTTAATATTTTTCTCAGTGCAGTGGGCTTGCAAATGTAACATTTCATTTCCCAATGAACCTTCTATATCCGTGTCTCCGAAGTCTCCTAGCAAGTTTGATTTTTCTTGTACATTAAAGTGTCAAAGTTCTAAAATTATGAAGAATTTTCCTTCTTGTGAGTTTCGTTTCTTCGAGTTAACTTCCAAACTAAGTTATCTAAAATCACAAAGAACGTACGAACTTTGAAGTGGTCGCGGGTAAATTTTTTGTTCATTATTAATTAAATGTTGGGATTTTAGATCAATTGAGTTAAAATGTAATCATGAATAGGTCACATATCTTTGGGGAAACCAAACATTTTTTGTGTGTGATTTCTTTGAGTTATTAACCCTTAGTTTCTCGCGCTACGTTGTCACAAGTGCACGCGTGGCGTATTTTGTACGCCAAGTATACTTTGATTGAAAAATTAACTCAGCCAAGCCTGAATAACATTTGGATATCATTTTTTAAAAATTAGTTTTATTTTAAATTTGTGTCTATTGCAATTTTAATTTAATCGTTATAACAATAAATTTAGCATATTAGACTTCAGAACAATTTTTGCATTTAATGACTTTAAGAATATGTTGGTTGCGTGCAAAATTGTTGCACCAGTTAGTAGTAGGTATAGTAATAATTGTTGTAGTGCGGTTTTTTGCTCTTCCGCATATCGGACAGTGATTTATTAATTTTGTCGGTGGTTATTCTTGATCATCACGTCTTCCAATTTGTGTAAATTTGCTGACAAGCGATGTTTTATTCCACTTTATAATCTTGTCTTTGCCGATGAAAACATCTTTACTCTCTAAATCGCTGATTAATCACTATCAGAACGAAGCTCAGAACCTGTGTCATGTTCACTCTCGGTCACTACAACGTCTTCCTCAGAATCTCTTGCAGCAGCGCAAATTTCGTCTTCTGATGATTCCTATATAATAATTCACAAACCTGCTTTTCCGATATTCTTTTCTGTATTGTTCCTCGTTTAAAACCAAATAAATTAGTTTAATTACATCAATAATTTTTTTTAAAGAAATATGTGAAAAAAATTAATTTCGGTACCAGCGTGGCGTAGAAAGTACGGCAACGAACACTTTCCAACGGAAATAAAATCTTCTGCATCTGAGGATCGCGAGGGATGCAGCTGAATGCCTTGTGCGAGGTTAGGCCAAATGTGAGAAGGCGCTGAGGGGCGTGGTCGCGGCGTGCGCAGGGTCGCTGTTGACGCTGGGGGCGGCGCTGGGCGCGGCGCCCGCGGGGCTGCTGGCGGCGCGCGCGGGCCCTCGGCGCGCCGTCGTGCTGCTGGGGCTGCCGCTGCTCGCCTCCTGGCTGCTCATCGCCTTCAGCGCCTCTGTCGCGGAGGTGGGTGCCTCGACGCACGCGCGCGCTGGGGAGTGCGAGAGAGGGAGTGCGAAAGAGGGAGAGAGGGGAAACGGAGCGGGACAGAGGAGGAGAGAGAGGGAGGGTTGAGAGAGGGAGGGGGTGACAGGAAGGTGAGAGAGAGGGAGGGGTGAGAAAGCGAGAGAGAAATGAATAGGGGAGAGGGAGGAAGAAGGAGAGAGAACGAGGAGAGAAAGAGGGAGAGAGAACGAGGGAAAGAGAGGGAGAGAGGGGAAACGGAGCGGGAGGGAGGGGGAGAGAGGGAGTGGGGAGGGGAAAGGGGATAGAGAGGGAGGGGGACAGAGAGGGAGGGGGAGAGAAAGCGAACGAGAAATGAACAGGAGAGAACGAGAGAAGGAGAGGAGAGAGAGGGAGGGAGAGAAAACGAGGGTAAGAGAAAGGGGGAGAGAGAGAGAAAGAAAGGGAGAGAGGGGAACGGAGCGAGAGAAAGGAGGAGAGAAGGGAGTGAAAGCGAGAGAGAAATGAATAGGGGAGAGGGAGATAGAGGGAGGGAGAGAGAACGAGGGAAAGAGAGAGGAAGAGAGGGAGGGGAAAAGAGGGAGAGAGGGCAGAGTACCAGAGGGAAGAGATGAAGAGAGCGGGAGAGAGAAAGATGAAGTGTGAAGAAATGAATGTGTGAAGAAGAATGTCTGGAAGTGTGGGAAAGTGGGGAAGAGAGAGATAAGGAGAGAGTGTTAGAAAGAGTGACAGAAAGAGATAAAACGGGTGTGAAAGAGACAGAATAAGATAGAGTTAGAATATAGTGAGAATGGATGTTTCATGTTTTTATTCTTCAAGTAGTCCTTGAAGTCACCCATGCTTACGTACTGAAATGTTCCAAACAAGGAGTAAGAAAGTTAATTTTGCCAATTGTTCCCAATACTTCGTATTAACATCAGCACCAAACACTTTTCCTATACACTTTACATCCAGGAGAGGAAGGCGTATCCAAAAAGTATCCAGTATATCAGTAGATGTCCAAATCATATCGCACCTGTCGCAGCTGCGGTACTAGAAGTCACCTGGGCCCTATCTAGTTCCCAATATTAATCACTACTAGTTCACTACTACTGCACTTCGGCATTCGCTCTCCAAATTACGTGGCTCCGGTACCCGCAACCCCGTAAGTATCCCAGGCGACATCATACCCCAACT